AATCAGCTGCCTCTCAATGACAAGGCCTTCATATGGGACTGTGAACGGTGTGGCCTTGGTTTAGAAGAAACGGCTTCGCACGCCTTCTACCATTGTCCCCGGGTACGCCCCTGATGGGACCATGGCGGCGAGTTGACGGCCCGTCTCGCTCCCGAAAAGCTTATGCTCATTGATCGCGCATACGCGTGTGACAATATGTCGCCCCCGTATTCCTGGGTGAAACGGATGGTGTTTCTTGCGCTGCTAGCCACGGTCCGAATGGTGATATGGACGACGCGACAGGAGGAAGTCTTGCGAGACAACCGTCTTTTTCATCAGGATCTAATCCGATTCTTTGAGCATCAGCTCAAGATGAAGATTAGAACTGATAGAAAACGATTTCATTCGACAGTCTTCAGCGAAAGATGGGTGAAAGAGTCGAGCTTGGTTCGTTTGAACGGGGCTAGCCTTGATTTTCTTTTCTAGGTCAACCTACGTCGCATCGGGGTGGTTTCCTGTCGAGCCCTTCACTTGGTTAGGTTAGACAAGCTTTTTTATATGTGAATGTGAGTAAGTGTTGCTCTCGGCCTGTTTCTGGCCACTTCTTTAGTTATGATCCAGGTTGAGATTCCCAACCTCCCCAGTTTGTTTCTGACCCTTTTTTTATCTCGACTGGGTCAGCTTTATAAGTTCCCATGTCCGTATGATTTTTTTATCCTTTTCCCACTCCCTTATGCCTCTCGATTTTGTCCAATGGGCAGAATATAGCGGTCTCTCTGTTTTGAGGGTTGGACGGGCCCTAATAACATCCGTTGTGTTTAATTTGAATTGTTTTAATATTTTAGTTTGTTAATGGGTTCATCTACCTCCCCTCTCATTTTTCATCATAGATTTTTATATATATTGTAGCATCATTCAATTTTTATGCCTCGGGGCGCGTTTTGTAGGTCTCCCTAGTGAGAATGGTGTATGGAGGATTGACTGGGGACGGACGAGTTCTTATGGTGAATGGTGAAATTGTAATGCATGAATGGGTCGTGAATTGGATTAGCTAGGTATAGGATAGTTAGGTAAGACCAGCCTCAAACCCCTCTCTTTTTCGGCCTTGTGACATAATTGTATTTTTTTAATACAATAAATATTCTAGTACCCAAAAATTTTAACGCTTACTCCTATCCATCAATTCATTCGTATTCAGGTTGGCTATCTTGATAGACATTTTTTAAGTCTGAAAAATAAAACATATCACAATACATACCGGGCAGAAATCTGCTGGGGTAAGGACCTCGAGGGATTTTCCTAAGCTCCCTGTGGTTAACTCTGACGTCACCTGTCCATCAAGGACAATATTGCCAACGTCCATAGGATAGGTTAACTTTACCGCCCTATATAACGAAGGATAGAACAATACGGTGACCCGCCATGAGACAAAGTTTTCTTTTAAGTTGGGACGAACCCAACTCAGATACACGAATTTTTGGGAACGTGTCCTTTGTTTCGAAAAGGTAGTGATAATACCTGGAACCTTTGGGAAATTGCGGAGGTCCTCTCCCGACTTTCTGTCTACTGTGGAAATTTTAAACAAATGGCCCAGCGGAGCATTTTTTTATGGGTGGAAAGGTTCTTTTCTAGTTCTTTTTTGCACACTTTACATTTTTCTTTTTCTTGGCGGGGTGGAGTCGGGAAGAAGTTGATGAGTGAAGGAAAGTAAACATTGAACTGGCGGAGGAGGTTGATGGATAGGAGAACGAAGCTCAGGCAGGTGAAGGGGGAGATGCTTTGGGCATGATAATAGCATCTGAAATTTCCTTTGACGAAGAAGGGACGGATAGGGACCTGGCTTTGTCCATGCCCCTCTCCGCCTTACTTTGCCCAGTTGGTTTTTCTACTGGTTTCTCTTCTTCCTCCTCCCTGATCCTCTTCAAAGATGAAGATCGGGGCGAAGGCATTTCCCCCACCTCCATCTCAGATTCGTGTTGTTGCTGTTTTTGTTGCTGATGATTTGGCTACTTCTGCTGCTGTTCTTGTTGATGCTTTTGTTGTTTGCCTTTCTCTTGTTACAGCGGTTTCTGTTGTTGCTGCTGCTGCACCTCCTTGGGTTGCTTCTGCGGTGGTGCTTGATGTTGTCTCGGAGGTGGCACGTACCGCTGTTAGGGAGAGGGAAGGTTTGTCGTCTTCCATACGCTCTTCACTACGTCGGTTGTAGTTATATTGTTACATTCTTCCCGGGGCGGCGGCATTCCACCATTACGAGCATTCCCTTTCCCGGCACATCAGTACATTAGAGATCTCGCCAAAGCTGTGGCGGGTCAGAGTTACTTGAAGAACAATGTCCCAAGTGGCGATACCGGATTTACTAAATACTGAATTGACTTCGTCCACTTGCCCGTATTTGGCAAAAAGGCTCCCATCCGGTCTTCAGTAATGTCCACGGGCACACCAGGCACCGCGATTCTTGTTTTACGCGTCCTTATGTACTCGGTCTGGAGTCTCACTGACTTGGCTATTAGTATACTTCCGGTCAGCTGCTTGGCTTCTTGCTCGCTCGCTCGCTAGCCAGGAGAATGTCCCATATTGCGTTCGATCTCCTGGGTAGCACCTTTAGATCAATCTCTTCAGAGCCTCTTCCACGACCCCAATTTATTTCCAACTCTTCACGTGAGGAACTCATTTCTCTTAATGAATCCCTCATATTTGTTTCGTAGTTCGGCATAGTAAGCCGCATCTTTCTTCTTCGGTCTGTTTTTGGCCCAGGCTGTTTTATTTACTTCGACCCCCCCCCCCGGTAACGGCGGTGCTTCCTTAGAATCACTGATTGGCAGCACTAAATTAGTGTTGCTAATAAAATTTTCTTTTTTCTTTTCTTTTATAATTTCAAATGAAACGAAACTAAAGAAAACGGATTAGAGTCGTGGGGGGATCAACAAAATTAAAACAAAACTTGAATTTGCCAAAATAAAAATAAAAAAAAACGTAAAAACACAAAAAATAAGGAAAAGAAAATAGGGTCAGGGGAGCGCCAGTAAAACTCGGCTTTTTGAAAATAAAACAACCAAGTCACACCTATAAAAAGATAAAGTGAGACGAGGTAAAAAAAAAATAAAGTCTTGCTTACAAACTGAGGTAAGAGTAAAAATAAAACTTAAACTTTGGATAATGCAACCAAGTCACGAAACCAGCACTGTTTACAAAAAATTAAAAATTAAAAAAATACAATTTACAAAATAAATTGATGGGAAGTTAAAAATAAATGCTTGGTTAATAAAACCAAGTGGAAAACCAAACAAATTATAGTAAGCCAAAATAAAGTTTTGCTTACAAAAAGAAAATTTACAAACTAAATTGAGAGGGTGGAAAAATTAAAGCTTGATTAAAAAATTAAAGAGAGTGAAGGAGAGAAAAAAATGGCGCTTGGCTTGAAAATTAAAACACGTGGAAAATTTTTAAAAAAATTAACAGAAAAATAAAACAGGGATTAAACTGAAAAATTCAAGAGTTCGTATGTAAAATGCCAAAGAACTAACTCTGAACAAGCAAACTTTTGGAGTCAATAATCAAGATTTATTGTATATAGAATACAATTGTGGCACAAGGCCGAAAAGGGGGAATTGGGTTGAGGCTGGTCGTCACTTACTATACCCATTCACTCGTTACAATTTGCATATTCAACAAAAGAATGTATTCATCATCATTCAATCCTCCATATATCATAATACCTCATACACTCAGGGTACCTACAAAACGCACCCGATGACATAAAAAATTTCATGATCATAAAAATTTTATATATAAAAATCTATGGATGATTTACAATGAGTGGGGAGGGATGAACTCAGAAACAAACTAAAATATCAAAACCCTCAAAAGAGAGGACACTGTATTCTGTCTTTAGACAAAGTCAAGAGGCTCTCCCAATAAGGGAGAGGGAAAAGATAATATGGGGAGAGAAGAAAGCTGATCAAGTCGAGATAAAAAAGGTGGGGAAAAACAAATTGGGGGGTCGGGAATCTCAACTTGGATCATAATTAAAGATGCAGCCGGGACCAACACTTACATTAACTAGGTACTTCCAGTAAGCCAGCCATTCAAGGCCTACGATCTAACAGTCAGCCCATAATGACTCTAGTCAGTACCCTTACACCGCTATTTATACACCTGGCGGAAAACATATATTCATAAGTCCAGAGTGTCACACTGGAACCTCATTGTCGGTAGTTACTCATTTTCTTCCTATATGACACTTGGTATGTGAAAGGCAAATCAACTGTTAAAATGAGCCCTAATATAACGGTTTCTCTTTTTCTGTGTGTGCAAAGTGAATCAACGTTTAAAAGGAACCATGGTATGGCTTAATTTCTCTTTGTTTTGTATGCGAAAGGCAAATCATCGTTTAAAATGATCTTTAATATAGCTTTATTTCTCTTTGTTTTGTATGCGAAAGGCAAATCAACGTTTAAAATGATCTTTAATATAGCTTTATTTCTCTTTGTTTTGTATGCGAAAGGCAAATCAACGTTTAAAATGATCTTTAATATAGCTTTATTTCTCTTTGTTTTGTATGCGAAAGGCAAATCAACGTTTAAAATGATCTTTAATATAGCTTTATTTTCTCTTTGTTTTGTATGCGAAAGGCAAATCAACGTTTAAAATGATCTTTAATATAGCTTTATTTCTCTTTGTTTTGTATGCGAAAGGCAAATCAACGTTTAAAATGATCTTTAATATAGCTTTATTTCTCTTTGTTTTGTATGCGAAAGGCAAATCAACGTTTAAAATGATCTTTAATATAGCTTTATTTCTCTTTGTTTTGTATGCGAAAGGCAAATCAACGTTTAAAATGATCTTTTAATATAGCTTTATTTCTCTTTGTTTTGTATGCGAAAGGCAAATCAACGTTTAAAATGATCTTTAATATAGCTTTATTTCTCTTTGTTTTGTATGCTGAAAAGCAATTCAACTTTTAAAATTAACTTTAATATAGTTTTATTTTTCTATTCGTGGCTGAATGAATATAAACTCACCAATTTTTCATTCTCGTCCTCAATTTCAAGGCGGGCTGCGATGCAGTTCCTTGTGTCATAGAACGTCTTTCGTTGAGCGCGATCGGTAAGGTTGTGTATAAAGATCCCAGCAACGTTAACGCAAGCAAAGAACAAACCATTTGCCAACAGCTGAAAAAAAAAAAGAAGAAAACGTTACTGTAGATACCTAGTGAAATGATGAAAATTGGATAATAATTCTTTCATCAGAAATATAGCATAAATGTATACTGGTCTGTAGATATTCATTAAGCTTAGTGGGACACGGAGCTACTATTAGTAGTAAATGGTCTATGAGACGAAGCTATTGCTCTGCTCATATTCTACGGAAGGTGCTGTTTTGACGTCATATGCATGATCTCCGATTGAAAAATGAAAATCTGTGTGGAAGAAGAGAATAATAATAATAATAATAATAATAATACTTGGATAAGCTGAAGTTATTTTTACCCAGGACAAAACAAAACTCGAACAGTTGTTCCAAACATGACATTTAGCCATTACATTGAAATGAAATGTGCAATGTTAGTGATACACTTGGTAAAACTGGAATCAACAAAAAGAAACTAATGTGATGAATGAGCTTCTTTGAATTGATATTTAATGGAAAAGACCGCCATAAATACATTGGAAACAGGCGGCAAATTTAATTAAACATGATAAAAGAAAAAGAATATCTCAAAAGAAAACTTTTTGAAAATGAATTTCAACAGTTCGTAAGAAGTATAAATTATTGCGTGTATTCTTAGAAAGACAAAAAGAAATGCTTATCTTGAATGGGAAATAGAAAAAAAAACAACATAAAGTTATATAATTCAGAGAAGACAAGATTAGAAATAAAGAAAATTGTGTCGCCTCGGATATAAAAAAAGATTTGACGATTGCAAATATTAGAAAAGAGACAATAATCATACCAGACAGAAAATGCAGTAAAACTGACAAAAGAATAACTGTGAAGTCAGACAACCCAAAAAACAACATTCAAAAGATCAATTCTGAACTGAATATACAAACGAAAATAACTGAAGATGAAATTATATGGATTTCGTTGAGCAAAGAACACCTGATAAAGGAAAAGGAATCCTTATTAATAGTAGTTCATAAGTATATCGGAATAAACTATATTAATATTAATATAGACAGGATCAAAGACAACAATAAATATCATCCGTGCTGAAATAGTGTTGAAAACTATCTATCGCATGATCAGCGAATGCAGTCAATTAAGTTAGATCATGTCTAGGGATATCGGCTAGCTCTTATTTAGTGCTGTGCATTTATTGTTTCCACGGATTCCATGTACGCACTAACCGAACGAGGGATTGAAATTACAGTTACTGTATTTTATCCGCTAGGCTATTAAATGATTAAAGGAAGACCTAGCGGATTAGATGAAGGCTCGGGGGCACAACAGTCAAAACGATATTTTAATAACAAAAATGAGGACAATAGTCTTGCATGCCAAAAAATCTGCACTAGCGGAGTTGATAGACACATCCCTGTCGCTACTAGTGAAACGCATTATCTACCCACTTAACTGTTTTATCTCTGTATCAACAAATATCAATGGGTGCTATTTTATCAATGGATGCTTTGCTTGGTCTGTAGTGTTTGTTATTAATACCGGGTCTTTATGGAGCTACTATTAGATAACCTGCCACTTTTACTTGTAAATATTACTTAACATTAGAGATATCAGGAACAATAATTATAAAAATAAGCAATCTACAATAAAGAAAATGTAATATAGCTTCAATATTTTTAACAGTACGCACAAGAAAACACAAATGCACGCAAAATAGAATTAATATTCTTGTGAAACTATTCGAAAATCCCATGACAAAAGATTCCAACTAGAAATATGACATTACTATGCATTCGATGATAAAAGCATCAAATCCAAAACAGTATGTTAAAAACTACTAAGACGGAGAACATAAATATTTCGACTGAAAACTTATAAAATGCCTGAAAATATTTGAAGATTAATACCGGAAAAATTATAGAGAATCTTGAACCATTATTAAAAGTACTTCTTTTGTGTGCCATGTCCTTTCAGGACGTGGGTGATCATGGCTCTCCATAATCTCTTGTCCTTTGTAGCTCTTAGTAAATTTTGTCATTTTCTATCTCTCCTAATCTCCTGTCAACCATGTGCACAGTCTCGTTAGACAGGGAGTATGCGCTGTTTGCCTTTGTCTATTTTGCTTTTGATATGTCCTGTGAGTGTCATATTTTCTAAGATCTCTTTCCTCTGTTTTGAATAATTCTAATATCCTTCCCAATTAAATCAAGCTTACAAAACAGTTTTTGTGACGTATTTCATCAAACGGTTTTGCATAATCTATAAGACATAGTAATCCTCTTAAAATAGATATTTCCATAGCGTTCTATCTATCTATCTATCTATCTATCTATCTATCTATCTATCTATCTGTTTTTGAAAACTTCTCAGCTTAACACATTGCTTAAAATCTGATGAAATGACCCAACAGCATTCCTTCTTGGTGAGATGAAGAATCTTTTCAGTATCCTCTCCTATGTATGTGCTTGATATAAAACTTTCCGGATACATTAGTCTGTTCTCCAGTACTGATTTGCTAGAAGAAATAAAGTTTTTTTTCTTCTAATAAAATTTGATCATTGATAAATACTTTATCCCAAAAGGAATTGATAAATTATATAATAACAACTTATAGCTGTTTTTTGTAAATGTTAGATAATACAAATTTTCTTTTTATTTATCTTTCCTTCTGAATTCTACACTTGTTTGATTTAAATGGTAATTAAGTACGCGTTTGTCTGTTTTACAAGTATTGTTTTTATTTTCTGTTATTTATAGAATAGTGGAAATAAATCTCTACCGTTCTTTCTGTTGACTGTATGAACTCTTGTTACGTTTAAGAAATAAAATATACTAGCAGGACCTGTAAATTGCACGAATTTACTAATAAATTTTATTAATCAATGACCATTCGCAGTTAGTTATACGAAGAGTCTCTCTTATAAATAATGAAATGTCCTCAACAGATCGTTAGGTCATGGGATATGATTTAATCCCTCACTACAAACAACTATCATTATCCAACCCCTCTCTGTGTCATACCATCTTTCTGTCTCTCTTTCTTTCTGTCTCTCTTTCTTTCTGTTTTTCTCTATGCCGTTTTCACTTTCTGCTTCCCACTCGGACGCTCAACACAATCTGTAACAAATTCGCAAAGGTAAGAATTCAATAAAAATTTTAATTTCAAAAGGTCACTTGAAGTTCAGGGATGAAATTATCGGATTCTCTTTTTGTCTCTCTACATCTCTCTCTCTATTTCTGTTTTCGTCTCTCTAATTCACTCTCTCTTTCATTTCCCTTGTCAGTATCTGTGATACCAAGCGTAACACACATCATACATAGTTTACCAAAGACTACCAAGGCTAAACCCTTGGTAGTCTTTGGTAACTGCTTCAGCAAGTTGACATAGTACTCTCTGTTGATGGTGTGTGACCATTTAAAGTCAATAAACTCAAAAACTGAGGCCTTCATCTTCCTTGCAAATAAAACGACCTTGCACTAAAGAAGGAGAAGGTGATTTGGGGTGTTTTCATTGTATGGGTTAACTCTGTCTCTGTCTCAAAGTGAAACACCCAACAGTCATCTTGGGTTAGGAAACGTTAAAAAACTCAGATTTGTCTACCTCAAACAATGTTAGATTTCCACGTGATGTGATCAGGTGTCAGAAGACGTGGAACTTTGTCTTCCCATTTATAATATTATTTACTCACATAAGCATAACACAAAGTCACCGTATTTGAGTATCCAGTAGAAATCAAACTCATCCCGTTAGCATCTCCGAAATGAACTTGGTAGCCATTGCACTACGGTAGGTGTCCCATATTATATGCGTTAACTTAGTTTAGTCTGGTAGAAGGCTTTAAGCTCATTATATATATATATATATATATATATATATATAATCAACTTATGTTATTTGGGGGATTTACAAATTCGTTATTTTTTACAGGAATACACATTTATCATTTTTACTTCCAACAATATTTTGAGTAAATAACAATTTTTCCAAATATTATATTTATTCGAAAAACTCGAAAGAATTCAAATGAAATTGGTAACTTCCTGGGAAATTGGAAATAGTTTTCCATCATTGACTTCAAGGTTGGAATATTCTGCTGAAATTAACCATGAATGCCAAACTTTCTCAAATCTACTCCCTTATAAAATCTTTTTCAATGTTCTCATTAATTTCATTGAAATAAAAAATGTTTTAATGAAATCTCTAGTATATGATATTTCATTATTATACACCGATTTCTTAGGACTGGTATCGTCATCTTGGTTGGTGTCTGGCAATCTTCGCAGAATTGAAAATTTGGGCATACTGTTTGGATTATTACTTGACGGATGTCATATTACGAGAAAACTTTTAGTGATTTTTATTATTTTCTATTTTACAAGAAGCAAATATAGAAATAAGAAAGTACATTCCTCATATTTATAAACAATATTCATGAGGAACTTACAAATACTGTGTGCTTCCTACACTTGTGGCCTTATATTAGACTAAGTTGAGAAGCATCTACAATAGTCTGATAGTAATCTCGTTACATAGGCTAAATATTTAGATGACAACTAAGCTGCATAAATGTAAACATAAAGAATAAACATCCAATATGATCAAATACTAGTTTGTTTATTGATATATGTTGTAATCACCTATTTAGTGGAAATTTAACATTTTTCAACATTCTGTATCTGTCCTTGAAGTTTTTATATATATTTTTACCCAAGTAAAGATCTGAAATGTCCCTTAAACGCCATTCTATATTTACTGATGAATTGCGATAAGACATCCATTAAAATAATTATCGTTTAATTTTCGAAACGTTTGAAAATAAAATTTAAAAAAATAAGTCTCGATCTAAAAATACAAATTATTTTTCATTAGCAAAATATTTCCTTCTATAAATAATTACACCATATTAATTTATGTTCATATTTTTCTATTTTACCAAAGATATTCATTTTCTTTTCATTTTCCGATCTAAATAGTTAATTATTTTACTGCCAAACCCAGTATTGCTGTTTCTGTTTCAGATAATGTCAAACAAACTATCCTGTTTGAATTACGCTATTATATATGACATTATCTAATTTGCCTCCGATCAATTATATACATTAACGGTAATTTGATTTGATTGCTGGTAATTTGGTTGTAGAACAGAAAACAAGTGATAAAGAATTGCAATGTTACCTCTTCATTGTTGCCGATTTGAACACATGTAACTTATACTGATTCAAACAGCAAATATTATGCCTTTAGTTAATTTAATTAGTAAAATTTCAGAAAATAATTAGCAAAGACATGAAATGTCCAATCCCTGATGTTGGTGAAATAAGTTTTTTGAAGGTTGATTCCATATTAAATTAATAACATAATTGCATACTAAACTTTTTAGATTCAATGATAATTTCATTATTGATATTTACAGCCAGACTAATGTCCTCATTGTTATTTCAGCCGTCTTGCCTTCTGGCCTACTGCACGTGTCTGTCGATTCTTCTAATTTTCAGGATATCTCGAACTGAAGCATCTATCTAATCTACGGAAGTAGACTGTTCTCATTCCGCTGTTGATGTATATAGTCAAATCTCGTCTTCGTTAAATTGTTTTGTAATTGATAATTATAAATTACTGATAGTTACGAATGATAATTTCATATTTCACACACACACACACACACACACACACACACACACACACACACACACACACACACACACACACAGCCGGAGGGCGCATTTTCTCGAATGTGCTGGTCGGTAGATGAAATAAAATACTGTCTAAAATAAACAGAACGTCTACTGAAATATGTGTATCCACTAATAATAACGTCTAATGTAAAAAATATATCAGATTAAAAAGTAAAATCTATAAATTCTTTAGAAATTGCTTTGTTCACATTTCAGGTACGAAACTGAGCAGGAAATCTGAACGAATATATATATATATATATATATATATATATATATATATATATATATATATATACATACACGAAGATTACAAAAAACTATTTGTAAGCGATTTTTGCCGCTATAAAAGTATATAAAAGCCGTTTTCAATATCTTTGTTATTTTGGGCGTTTTCAGGAACAAAATCTTGCTTACAGAAACAATCAATTTTTTCTTGTGGCTTGAGTCGGCCATCAGTATTTACGAGACAACTATTCAAGCGTAAAAACTGTAAAAAACTGGCCTAAAACATTATACAATTATACAATCTTCGTCGACTACTGGAATGACCCTTCCATTATTTGCATAAATTGTATTGGATTAGTTTCAGAAATCTTAAAATATATCGTTTTATAGGATATAATTTGTTCACGTTAGAATTGTTAGGGCTTTTATTTGTCAATATTGCTTGTTGACTAGTTTTTGTTTTCATTATATTTGTGTAGCCCGAGTAGTAGCTTGAGTATGAGGTGAAATTTTATCAGAGTATATGTTGCTACAATATTCAACAACCTGAAGATTGTAACAAAAATATAGTGGCAAGAGGTTTTTCCTATACTTTTGTTGCAATTATCAGGTTGTTTTTATATTCTAAGACCGATAAGTCAGCGACAGGGAACGCAAATAAGGAATAAACCTTTACAACATAATTTGAATTCACTTCTCTATCGTTGAGAACATGTCGGAACACAACAATTTCCTAGTGATCCGAATCCTAACCAACGAGTACCATTTAAATTTAATTACAGATTTATATTCTTCCTCATCCAACTTTACTGTCACGCCATATTTTTTTTACTATTTTTATTACTACTACTAGTATTAGTTGTATCTTAAGCTGTTCAAATTTCTTAGATGATGAAACAATGCCGCTATTATTCATTTTAGCTATTTATTTCTAGATGTATTTGTTAGA